TCTTTATATCACTGACATGTAATATAAAGACGCCAGTATAAACAGTTTGAGTATAAGTACTCAAGAACATCATAAAGATTGGATTCAGACACAAGATTTACAGAACTCCGGAGTTTGAAAAACTACTGTTCTGGAAGTCAGAGTGTAATTTCTGTTTGTTTTGTTTTGTTTGAAGTAACAAAGGGAATGCAACAAAACTCCCTCTGTTGCCCATCGCCTTCATTAAGGGGATGAAGGAAACCTAGATGCACACGGTTGCATGATCTTATTTGTGCGGGACTACACATACATAGCCTCATATACATCAGAAACTTCTCCCTGGGAGCATGCCAAAACTTTAGCAGCAGTAGTTCTGGGAGTAGGCACACATACCTCTGCACTGTTTGAATTTCTATAATAACCCTATGGTAATGAGCTATAATGATACATGGGGAGAAAGGACTTATTAAAAATTCTGGTCTGGCTGTCAGAGCCACCTGAGCAGGATGGAGGAATGACCCGGTTGTCAGGCCCGGTGACCACACAGCCACACTAATCCAGCCAAGGTTTCACAGCTTAAGGTCCTGGATCCTTAGCCCCAAATAATCCCTGGGGTCCCTAACGCTCTCTATATCCAGAAGAACGGGAAATAGCACATATTTCGAATCACTCCTATCTCTAAGAATCCAAAAATCAGTGACCCTGTAGGTCAGCAGCAGGAGCCCAGAGCTGGGTTGAGTCCCAGGAAGAGTTGGGGTTTAGGGCCCTCCTGGACCAAGGTTTAACATCCACCCACACCACTTGGGCCCTTTCCTTGACCTCTCCGAGCTGCTGTTTGCTCATCTGTAGGATGGGAGGGGAATTCTTGCTTCAGAGAGATGATGTGAGAACTGAGACAACATACACTGCCAGCACATAGTAGGTCTTCTACATGGTCCCCTCTTTCCTCAGCCTTGGCCCTGAGGCACCCAGGACCCAAGCCTCCCCCATCTCCTCCCGAGAATCCTGTACCTGCAGCCCAGGTCAGCCCAACGCTGGGCACAGCGCCCTGGCCACCTGGCGATGCGGGCCCGCGGGATCCGGGGGCACGGCGAGGCCAGGGACACCGGGGCCAGCCTCTCCATCTGGGTGGTGGGGAGAAGGGCAGGCTCCGCCATGAGCTCACAGGTGAGCCTCCGCGCTGCTGCTGCTGCTGCTGCCGCCGCCGTCGTGGCTACTACTGCCGTGGGGCTGACTCAGTCAGCAACTCGGCAGTTCAAGCAGGAGGAAGCCTGTACACCCAGTTCCCAGACACCCCCTCACCAGGACAGATGTCCAAGCTCCTCCCAGGCGGGGCTGGCTCAGCCAGGGCCACCTACAGGCAGTCACACACACCCCTGAGCCCTGCCCACCTGCCCACACTGTGAAGGCAAAGTGAAAATGGCACCTTTGAAAAACAGTCATAAAATATAATTTGTGTTGCCATCATTGTTACTTACAGCCATTCAATTGTAAATGAAACAGCATTAAGAAAGTACCTGGCTAACTGGGGTGGAGAAAAGCATCCGTGGCCTGGGGTCTTCACCCCCCGCTTGGCCACGCCCAGTGTGCCTGTGAGCAGGCCTTTCACCTGCTCTGAGCCCGGGTCTCCTCTGGGAAACGCCAGGAAACAGAAAAGCAAGCCAGCAGGTGTGTGCTGAGGGTGCGAACGGGCAGGGCGTGCCTAGGGGAGGAAGGACACTAAGGGAGCAGGAAGCGGAAGTGCCCGGATGTGGGGGTCTGGAAGAGTCTCCCTGGGAACTGACTTTCAGCCTGGGATGTGCAGTGGTAGGGACAAGGGAGGGGCGTTCCTCCTGGCTGCCCTAGCTTGTGCCCTACTCTCATACCTGTTATGGGCCGGGAGTCCCTCCCCTTACTCCCTGGCTGGGACCGAAAGCCATGGTTCCCCCACCCACCAGATTGCCCTGGCCCACCCTGCCCACATGCAAGGCGCTGGGAGTCAGTGACCCTCCCAGGCAGCGCATTTGCCCTCACACGAAGAAGAGCGGCCCCAGGATGCTCCTCGAGGAGGGGCCCAAGTCCACAGGTCACCATGGTCTGCTCCGGCCTGGAGGAAATCACTCCACAGCGCCCAGGGGTAGGCCCTGAGATAGGCCGTCCTGGCATCGAAATATGGGAGGAGCCCTCAGGACAAAGGCCCTCGGGAGCCCCAAGTCCCACGCAGCCATCGCCGGCTCTCACGTGCAGACCGGGGCTGCGGAGGTGACTGGCTGCCCACATCTCTCCCAAGCCTGGTCGCGAGACTCCGGAACTGCACCCCTGGAAGGCCCAGCACCTGGGGGCCCCCCCACCGGTGCAATGGCCCTCCCTCCCCACGTGTGGAAGTTGAAGTCGCAGTAACAGTGGGTGAACAAGTGCTTTGGGAGGCACAAGAAGCTTTGTGTGGAAAACATGGTAGGTGTTTAGTGAAGGCTGAATGGATGGATGGACGGTTGACGGATAAGATGGGTGGGTGGGTGACTGACAGGTGGAAGAGGGCATGCCTGTGCACATGAATGTGTGAGCATGAGTGCCTGAGCGAGCGAAGGAATGAAGGAAGGAATCAGTGAGCCATTAGGTGAATGGGTGGATACGTAAATGAGTGAATGAACGAATGAATAAATAGATGCCTGAGTAAGTTAGTAAGTTAGTGCTTGAGTAAGTGAGTTTCTAGTGCAGAACAGAAAACTTACCACTTCCCTTACGTGTAGGGAAGCCTTGGGAAGAAAGCAAGAGGAAGACAGAGTAGCCTGAATCGTGAACAAACTGCACTTTCAAGCTCCTTTAAGGAAGCACCCCCTCTCGGCTTCCTGGAGCGCCGTGTGTGCTGAGAGTGAAGTGAAGTGTGTCCACGCTCCGGGCAACATTCCTGGCCGGGTCCCAGCCTTGGAGTATCGGCCGGGCCGGTTAGGTCACAGCGAGTGACTCAGACCTGGCGGCCCTGCACGCTGGCGGCCCTGCACGCTGGCAGCCTGCCAGCGCCTCACTGGGCAACCTGCAACCCAGCCCACCCACTCGCTCTCGTCAAGAGCATTCCGTGCCCCTCGGACCCGGGAAGCTCCTCAGGGTCACGTGCTACGGGCTCAGCGTTTCCTCCCTGCCTTCCTGCCCCTCCCCTCTGAGCCGCTCCCACTCCCCACTGTGGCGATGTCCTGCCCGGTGTGATGTAGTGGACACCCGCAGGCCTGGGGTTCGCCCGCAGCTCTGTTACTGAGGGTGTGTGACTTCAGGGCCTTAACGTCTCTGCAAACCTCACTGACTGCAGGGGCGGCTGTGAGGAGTCAGTGGGGTAACACATGCCAAGCACCCAGGCTGTGTCTGGCACACGAGGTGCACCAAGCATTGTAAGTTGCTCAAATGTTTCCTTTTGGCAACAATTCACGGCACACCGTGAAGCGCCAGCGAGGGCTATGCTCAGAGCTTTACGTGGGTTACCACACTCAGGCCGCACACGGAGGGTGTTGGGGTTCAACCGTGTCCTGCCAGGACTGTACGTGGAAGTCCCACCCCTGGGACCTCAGAATGTGACATTTGGAATTAGGGTCTCAACAGCGACCATCAAGTTAAACGCAGCTCTCCGGGTGGGCCCTAATGCAATGACTGGTCCTGACACAACGGGGCCTCGGACACAGACGTGCACGGATGGAAGATGACGCGACACCCAGAGACACCCGTGAAGAGGGAGCCCAAAACGGGAGTGACGCTGCCACAAGTGAAGGAGGGGCAGGAGCTGGACGAGAGGAGGACGGTTTCTTCCCGAGCAGGTTCGGAGGGAGCCTGGCCCTGCCTGCGCCTCGATGCTGGGCTTCTAGCTTCTGGAAGTGGAGACACGACATTTCTGTTGTTCCAAGCTCCCCGGTCTGTTTGCATGTGACAGCCACAGGAAGCAAGTACAGAGGAGATGGGTTCCATTTTGCTCAGGGTGACAGCTAGGCTTGATGGGATGGTGGGGGGTGGGTGAGGGGCTTGCATTTAGGGTTCCAGAGCTCAGGGGTGGAAAGTAAGGGCAGGCCTGAGAGATGAGACCTGAAAAGGGCCCCAGAGACCACTGAATGGACACTTCATCTCTGACAGCCCCCGCAGTGCCCCCGCCTATGCTAGTGACCGTCCTCCCAGACCCCTGAGTTCCTGGGGCTGGGGAGGCACGTACACTTATTGTGCTGAGTTGGCTGTGTTTACTGCAAACATGGACAGCACAGGCAGTCCAGGAAGAGCCCGGGGTATTTTGTGGGTCTTGAGAAACACATCTCAGTTAAGAGTCAGAAAAACAGGCCACTTCCAGGCTATGCGACTCTGGGTGAGTTACTTACCCTCCGTGCCCCTAAGTTTCCCCATCCGAAAATGGAACTGTGACCCACCTCACGAGGTCGTTGGGAAGGGCAAAGATAAGACAGGGGAAAGCACTTAGCACTGGGTCAGACACTCAGCGTGGCTGCTGAAGGGGTGGGGTGGGGTGGGGATGATGTCTCTCGGGGAGGCTGTCACTAGGAGGTCAACAGGTGTGTTTACCAGACACACACACACACACACACACACACACACACACGTGTCCTGCCTAACAGGACAAATTGCCAGGAGGGCGGCCCCAACCCACACCCTTGAAGGCCCAGGGTCTCAGCCCCTCCCTCAAGCAGGAGGGCATCTCCTCCAGCCCCCACCACTGCCGCCCAGAGCTACTCACTCACCTGCCAGGGCCACCCCCCAGCAGCTGTCTCCCCTGCCTTCTGCCATGGGGGCTCCTGGGAGTGTGACCAGACGCCCTCCGGCAGAGCCTGGCTGTGCCAGCTGTCCCTCACGGTCTGAGCCCCGTCCACCCCGGGGCTTCTCTGGCTCCTCCAGGGTGGTCGGGGGCAAGGGGCTGGTGGGGGGGAGTGACTCATCTCAGTTTTCCAGGTCAGCACAGGAGGCTGAACAATGGCAGACAGCATGGGAGCGGGGGCAGGGTGGTCGGAGAAAATGCCAGACAAAGCCAGAGTGAAGCTTCAGCCACTGGGGAGGTTTGTTACCAAAAGTGTTTATTCAATGCCCGGAAAGCTCCCAGGAGAACACGGGGTTGACAAATGCTCATGCGCCAGAACAAGGCACGTGCAGGAGCCGGGCGTGTGTGTTGCATGTGTGTCAGGGGTGCACAGTGGGGCAAAGGCCAGGAAAAATGGGCCCTTTTAGGTACATTCCTGGGGCCGCCTGTGGGTAAGAGAACTTTGCAGTACCTGCAAACCGGCATTGCATAGAGCTTCCATTCAACACTTTCTCCTTTCAGAGTTTGTCCCGGAGACAGCTGTGTGCAAAGGCAGAAGGTCAAGGGTGTTTCCTGCAGCCTGGCTGGTAAGAACAGAAACCTCACCCAGCAACTTCAGCCAGGCACAGGTGCCAAAGGGTGGCTCTCTCCCCCCGCGAGGAACTTGGGCCTTCGCCCGGAGCCAGAGCTGCGAGACCATAGGTTCTGATCTGTGCTTTGGATGGACCGTTCATGCCAGCAGGGCCGAGCAGGGAGACCAAGGTCCAGGAGACCAGATAACCATTCCGGCTCCATTCTGTCTCTGGTGGACAACTGAAAAGGCCAGTGGAGCCTGGTGGGTGTGTGGTGAGAGAGAAGCAGGGAGTGAAGGTGGCGCCTGGTGATTCCCTAGAGGGCTGGTCCCCTCTACAGTCCGTCAACCCCGCTGCCTCTGGGGTGGCCAGGGGGGGTGCAAGGACCGACTGGGTTTGTTCAGCATGCCTCCCCCACAGCTCCCCGCAACAGTCCAGTCTGGAAAACATTGGGCTCTGGAGTCACAGGACTTAGGTTCAAATCCTGGCTCTACCACTTCAACTCAACAAGTTACTTGACTACTCCGTGCCTCAGTTTCCCCACCTGCAAAACAGAGATAACCTGCCTGATAAAATTCTTTCGAGGGTTAAAAAACAATAATACATATAGTCACAGCAAAGCGCCTGGGACATAGGAAGCGCTCACTGAACGTGAAGTACTGTTAAAATACCCAGGCCTGTGGTAGACACTCTGCAGGTGTTTATAAAGTCCGTGGCGGTGAAAACAACCTGAAGGCTGACCCAGGAGTGAGCTCGAAATGGGGAAACGGAAGTTTGGAGCGGAGTCCCCCGGCCCTTAGCGTGGAGGGGAGGGAGGGCCAGGGGTGCCCGAATGGGGTCAGGATGGCTCAGGTCGGCGCCGGGGTCAGGCCCAGGCCCCACGGCTTGTTAAGTGAGTGGACGTGGTCAGGCCCAGCACATTCTCAGGGGTCTCCTGAGCTCTGGAAGCCCCTGTGTTCTTTAATACGTACCCGTGCGCCCTGGCCCAGCCCTGCCCTAGGACCCCCTCCCAACTCGTTTGGCCAACGCCTCCGCGCGTGCCTGCTCACACTGTCCTCACAGACGTGGGCTGCTCCCCGGGGCCCCGGGGGATCCTCTGGGGGATCCTTGGGGGCTGCGTGTCCATCGTTGCAGGAGATGAGGCAGGCGGCTCAGGGAAGCCCCTCACTCGCCCGAGTCCTCCTCCCTCCCCGGCCAGTCTCTCCCATCCACTTCGTCCACTGCTGCCGCGCCGCTGACTCCAGGAAAACCGAGCTGGGGACAGATGGCAGGTTGGGTCTAGGGACGACAAGGGCACGAGAGTAAGAGAGGGACAGATACACCGTGGGAGCGGGAAGGGCTCTACATACAGGGCAGAGCCCCTGGGCAGAGTTTGAATGTCTCCCTTTCCTGCCCCACTAACTGCTCTCGGACAGGACAGGCTACATATTCTGTGGGCCCCATTAAAGATGACCACGCAGGCCCCTGTTAAAAATTGTTAAAACATATATAAAATCTCAAGACAGCAACAACCACGCAGAGTATTCAACCAAGCTTGGGCTCTTCTGAACACAGGGCCCGGTGGGGCCACGCAAGTCGCACCCCGTGAAGCCGGCCCCCCACACGGAACGCTGAGTGCATGCACACGTGTGTTTCTGGGCCAAGGGCCCTTGGCCGCCGAGGTCGTGACCTGGAAAGGTTCGGAATCGCTGTAACTGAGGGTCCCTGCTTCTCAGTCCCACCTCCTTCCTCCATTCAGACAGGCAGGGGCTCCGAGGTGTGACCCACAGGGCAGAGTCGGGGGTTAGCGACATGTTGCAGGGGCAGACCTTGGAGCCGGGCAGGCCGTGGAGACTGAGAGGAGTGCATGTGTGAGAGATGGAGGACAGGCTGGGACCGGACGTGGGGCAGGAGGAGAAGGAGGGCATGAGGCTGACTCCCAGGGGTGCGGCTCAGGCAGCTAGACTAACCGATGGTAGTGCCGTTCGCGCAGGTGGAGAGAGGTTGGCAGATCACGTGTCGTGTTTTGCTAGGTTGGGGTTAGCAAAGGGAATAAAAATATTCCATTCTGGCCACAAAGGGCTATCAGGCTCCGAAAAGAGATTGGAGCAGGACAGACACACGTGGGGGGTCACGGGTGCAGGGATGGCACTGAGCCCCCTCGGAGTGGCCGAGGCCCCCCAGGTGCACACTGGCTGCAGGGCCGTTGTGCTGGGCACATCCCTTACTGCGCTGCCCTCTGCACCCTCCTTTGTAAAACGGAGATAAGAATAATGTGCTCTGTGTAGGCTTTCAAAAACGAGCTCACGGAGGGAAATGCTCAGCACCGGCCCTGGTACCTGTGAAGCTCCCAGTGAGTATCAGCTGTTAATGTTATTGTTACATTGTTTCATTCCTTCCACAAGTAGCTGCTGAGCCCCCACTGTGGCAAAAGAGAAAGGGGGCGCAGTGCATGAAGCTGGGGAGATGTATGTCCATAATAAAGTGCGTGGTCAGGTGCCCTGCAGGAAAAGAGAATTTGAGAAAAACCTGAGGTAAGGGAGCCCACCAAGTGTGTGTCTAGAGCACGGGTGGCAAACACAAGGCCCTCGGGCCGAATCCAGCCCTCCACCTTGTTTTATCCGGCCCAGCACCTTGTTTCTACCCAGTGGCAACACCGAGCTCCTTGCCCCTAGTTAAGGAGTAGTTACATTTATACAGCCCTAAAATGACATTCCGCCCTTAGAAGGCAACCGCGAGGCTGATGTGGCCCCCGGGGAAAATGAGTTTGATGCCCCTGGTCTAGGGAGCAGGGTCCCAGGCAGAGGGAACAGCCAGGCCAGGGAGCAGTCCCCAGGGGGAGTTGTGGGAGGGGAGGCCAAGCAGTAAAGGACAGGGGCGCCTTTGTAAGGAAGTGGCTCATGACAGAGGTGGCTGGTCCTGCGACAGGGCAAGGACAGGACTCCAACGCCATGAGGCAGAATGTTCCCTGGCGCGGCCGAGATGGCGAGCTCGCCAGTGGTGGAGGGAGACGGCTCCCCCACCCCCGGCAGCACCCCAGGCTGAGGGCAGGCTCTGAGGCTCCCCTTGCCCCCGGCCGCACCTCCCTGGAAGGGCCTCACCTGGCAGGGCAGGCTCACTGGCCAGGCCTCTCTTCCTCTTGGCTGTGGAGTGTCTCGTGCCAGCGAGACTCAGCTGGGCCTTTGCTCCAGGGATCCCAATCGAACCATAAATCTGGGTCATTTTCCTCTGAATCTGTGGACAGACAGACAAGGCCTCTGGGATGGTTACATCCTGTCTCCTATCCCTTATCCAAAAGGAGCCCCCTGCCCGGCCTGGGTGTGCCTGCAGCCCCGTCTGAGGGCAGGGGCCAAGGACAAGTGACTGACTGCAAATGGGACAGCCCTGAGCCCTCGGGAAGACTTCAGGCCTTGAAAGGTGATCAGGGATCAGAGAAGGCGGTTCGTAACTGAGAAACGGCCACATTCACCTACTAAACCGGGAAGGACCCTAGAGGTGAGCAAATGACCTACCTGTACTGGGCACGGTCGAGACACAAACCCAGCCTTCCATCTGTCCAGCAGTCATTCATGAACGAGTGTCTGAGTGTATGTGCACACCGGTTTCCATTGCCCCACTGTGTTGTGGTAACACACACACACAACAATAAACCCCCCTAGAAACCACATGCGTGCACGCCCATCAGTGAGGGTTCTGGTCGACTGCAGTGTGGCACACCCACACCTCAGGAGACATGGCCATCCACCCAATGGCACGTCAGGAAGCTGCTAAAACACCTGCATCCGTCTGTACCTTTCCACTTGCAGATGTCTGTGATGTGTTACAAGCAAGCTGCAGAGAAATGTATACGGCAAAATCTCTTTTTTAAAATAGGAAAACAAAGAACACGCTCTTCTCCATTTTTCTTTTTGGAAGACGTTATTAATCAGGGGCATGAGCTTGCTAACACGGCTCACCTAGGGAAGCAAGGTGAGAAAGGAGAGGGGGCAGGGGAGGTATGTCCTTTTTCTTACTACATACACTTCTATTTTGCGGGCTGCAAGAAGCAAAGGAGGCTGGAGAAAGCCCTCGGATTGCAGACCAAGAGCCAAAGACAGAAAAGACTTAGCCTCAGTGTCCTCATCTGTAAAATGGGCACAACAGTAGCCTCTTCTGTAATGAGGGTTAACTGAAATAAGACATGTAAAATGGGCGTTCAACCACGTTGACAGTCATGAGTTAAAAAGCCAGCACAATGGCTCAAAGTGACTTTTCTTCACGAGATGTGGTGATTGTTTTCTGAACACGTACTATGTGCTACATGTCTTACATGTTTGCTCTCATTTAATCCTCTTCACTTCCTGGGGCAGCTACCAATGTTACTCATGCTCTACAATGAGGGAGGCTCAGAAACACGATGTCCAGCTCACAGCCAGGAAGTGCTCGCGCTGGACTCAAACCCGCCTCCCCCTCCACAGCCCCATGCAGGCCCACTGGGGTGCCTGTTTGATCTGGGACTTCAAAGGGAGCTTCGGAATTAACAGCTCGCTCCATGGACCAACATGAGGGGCGGTCAAAACCCTGAACAGGGTAGCCCATGGTGCCCACTTCTGTCTCAGCCCTAAATCCATTTCTTTGGAGGTTTCCTTCTTTCTGCAAATTCCCTTCAAATCACGAAGGAATTGTTCTCAGCAGAGCATTTTGCCCTTGAAGGGCAATCACTTCTGGCTTCGTCCCCTCTCCCTATATCATGGCAGGGGACTAATGCTGTCCCCATGGTCAGCTTCCCCAGGGCTCAGCTGCCCACAATCTTTTTTTTGCCCCAGTCTCGCCAGGGAGCCTCCTTCTCCACCCACTTTCTCCTCCCTCAACCTGGGAAACTGCCTCCTCTTTGGCCACGGTTGGCCACATGGCGTGCTGCTCAACCCTCTGCGTCCTGAGCCCGGAAACTGCCCTGCAGAGCCAGGCCAGGCAGGCGGGCACGGGGAGGGGGGATCAGAGTCAGAGCTACTCTTGTCTGCTTTTCACTGGGTTCCAGGGCAAACTGACTCCAGTAAAAAGGGCGTGGCAAGCTCTAGTCCCCCAAACCCTGGCAGGCTCAGACCCTGGAGCAGGGCCAGTTCCCGGCACAAGGACGGAACAGACGCAATAATACTGAGAGTTCCAAGAAGCCCAGGACCTTGAAGCAGTGACACTCAATCACTTTAGGGACAGTTTCCGCTTATCGCAAAATTAACAAAAGCACTTCTCTCTTAGTGACACGTGAGATGTAAGCGGGTCAACAGCCTGCCGGGAGAAAGTGTGGGAGGGGTGGGGCGGGGCGGGGCAGGCTGTGGACAGCTTCGGAGCGGGGCTTCCAAGAGTGAATCACCACAAGAGGGTAGAGCCTCAAACTTTAGGGAAGGTGTCCCTTCCCCTTCCAGAGCAGCCATCCAAAGCCGCTGCTACGCTTCCTCCTACCTGGACAAAACCAATACTGACTAGGTTATCTCTCGGGCTGCAAGCACCTACTGTGTGCCACGTGTGTACACATACTGTGCACTCTGTCCTTGATGTACATCTCTCCAAAAGGGCAGGGGCCACTCTCATCTCCATTTTGTAGATGAGAAAACTAAGGCTCGGGGGGACCTGTCCAGGGCCGCGCAGCTGGTAGGGGCCAGGGCCAGGATTTGACACCAATCGGCACTCTGAAGTATTCCACAGGTGTGTGCCCCTGGGCAGCTTTCCTCTCCTCTCCAAGCCTCAGTTTCCTGAACTGCCCAGTGAGGATTACTTTACAGGGTTATCCTGGGGGTTAAATGAAATAATATACATCAAGTGCTGAGTGCAAGTCCTAGTACCAACACAGCATTTGAAAAAGCTTCGCAATTATTATGAACTATTAAAGCGCAAGGCTGCAATCTGGGCCCACATCTCCTGGATTCCACACAGGAGGAGCACACACAGGGCACACAGTAGGTGCTTGTAGTCTGAGAGATAGACAGCTTTTATAGCCACTGCACAGACAAGTGCTCTGACATTCATCCGCCACTGGCCTGACACCCAAGATGTGTTCCTCGGGGAGGGCTGTGGTCCACCCTGGGAATAAGATCACATTTTAAATGCTTTCTAAAGGCTCTCACCAGGCTCTGGCTGGTGTGGCTCAGTGGATTAAGAGTTGGCCTGTGAACCAAAAGGTCAGCAGTTTGATTCCTGATCAGGGCATGTTTGTGGGTTGTGCCAGGTCCTGGGTTGGGGGCATATGAGAAGCAACTGGTCAATATCTCTCTCACACTGTTTTTCTCCCTCTCTTTTCCCCTCCCTTCCCCTCTCACAAAAATATATAAATAAAATCTTTTAAAAATAATATTTATATATTTATTTTAAAAATAATAAAGCTCTCACCAGGAACTCCCAATAAGTACACCATGGCCAGCCTCCACACTTGAGGTCATGGGGTAGGTTAGGGGGTGAACTCCTCACCCCGTCTCAACGCCCTATCGGAGGTGGCAGCACACTGGGTGCCCTCCCTGCCTGCCCAGTTGGCCAAAGTTTATGGGGCTGCAGAGCAGAAGGTGGGAGGTCAAGCTAACCCCAGGAAGAGGCCCAGGGAGACAGGATGCCTGGCAAGCAGAGTATCATTCCTGCCATGTGGCCATGGCTGCATCCCGGCCCACTGGCCCCCAGCTTCCCAGAGGCCAGCTCCACCCCGGCATGCTGAGCTCAGGGCAGACGCTGACCCGCTCCTGCGATCCTACGTCCCAGTGCACCCAGACCCTCCCTGATGTATGCTCTGGGCAGACAAGGGTGAGTAGTCACGGGCACTGATCAGGGCCTAGGGCTGCCACCGAACTGTGCAAGCCATTTGCTGCACAAAAGCCCCCGCTGAGGGGGCCGGAGGGACTGAAGCCCAGCCCATCCTCTGCTCACTGAGTCTCGTGTCCTGGCTGCGTTCACAGGCACCTTTTACTAATTCATCTGCCCAGCGGGGCCACCACTTTCCAGGGCCAGTGCCACCACCAAAGACCTTACGCGTTGGCAGTGGCCCTGAGGGGACACAGGCATGCACATGCATGTGCTTCCCAAACTCGGGGATTCACTCTTGGCCTCTAGGTTAGGAAACTCCAAACTACCAAGTCGGTCCTTTTGTCTTTCAGGGGACCACTTGTCAGCTCTGAGCCTGCAGTGCAAATACCCAAAGGAAGCCCCTCTCTCTGCACAGGTTTCAGGACCCCTTGCCCAGCTCCAGGATTAGGGCCCAGACTGGATGGCTCACCTTGGCTAAGTAAGAAGCGAAACCAGACGATCAACAAGAACAACAGCAAGGCCACGGGCAAGCCGAGCCAGAGCACCAGGAAAGAAAACGTGAGGTCGTTCACCAGCGGCACCAGCGGGTACTTCATGGTGTGTGAGTGGCCAAGCCGGGCCAGCCTGAGCTGGGCTGGCAGGGCTGCCCTGGGGATCTGGTGGGTTGGGCCACTCTCTGCCCTCAAACCAATTGTGACTGAGCCGGTGATGTCGTAACAAGGAAGTCACAGTGTCCTTCAGGCAAAGGGAGGGAGGGCTGTTTTGGATGAATGGTCAGGAGCTGGGGCAGTGACAACAAAGCCCAGGCTCCCAGGCAGGCAGGCCTGGGTTTGAATGGCTGCTAAGTTGCTATGGGGTGGACATGCCACCTCCCTGATCCTCTTGGGGTGGGGCTAATTCTCACTTCCCCCAGCTACTAAGTTAGAGAAGTGGGTGCTGGGATAAGCACTGCCTCCAGGGTGGCCACCCTGGAAGCCACCGGCCTGTAAGAAGCGCAGGTGGGGCCAGCCACAACACAACAAAGGGAGGGGAATGCTGGGGCTTGGAGACTGTGTTCAGAGGGAGTCTTAGCCCCGCTGTGGGATGATCAGAGACCCCAGAAGAGAAGGTCTGGGCAGATGGTACTACAACACAGGTCCAAAAGAGTGGAACAGCACAGGTGGAAAAGGCTTAAACAGCCATTTTCTTGTTGGATCCCCAAATGGGGCCACTGTGCAGTCAGCCCAGGGAGAAGCAGCCCTGGCCACCGGGCCCCAGCCGGGGGTCCCGTGGCAGGCAGGCAGGCAGGCGTGAACACATCACCGCAGGGGACGCAGCTCCCAGGCGCCGTCAGAGGGCTGCACACTAGCTTCCCGTGGAATCAGTGTCAGGCTGCAGGAGGCGGCTCTCGGCAAAGGCACCCATTGCTGTCCCCTCAAGTGGTACAACCACCCACCGTGTCATCTAGGCGGTGAGATGTCAGTGTGGCCCCGTGGCACCCTGCACAGCCCACCCTGCTCTAAGAGGGGTGGGAGCGTCACCCCTCTGCACTTCTCCCCCTTGCTGATGGGCCAGCCCGGCAAAACTGTTTCCTGCAGGCAGACAGCACAGCTGGCATTTCCCTGTTCCCTTGGCGACCGCTGCCCCTGTTGGCAGGGCTTTACCTGTACAAGCTCCTTCCAGCACAGAAGGCCAAACAGTTTTAGGAATTTTGAGTACATGTGAAACTTGATAAAGCCGGGGGCAGAGCCGCAGACCTGAACTGGGAAGGGCAGCCGGGGCAGAGCAGAGCTCCCGGGAAGAGGACACTAGGAACACCCACGCAGGAGTCAGACCCCCCACCCAGGACCGAAAGCACATGGGACATTAAGCAGATAAGAATCGCCTTAAAATTTAATTGACTAAATGTATTACATTCAGTATTCCATGGGTTTGCTCCGGACGAAGGGTTGGCATAAATACAAACCAGCCTCTGGGCCTTCTTCCCTCACCGACGAAGAGGAAACACAGGAGGCGAGGGCACGCAGGGACGCCTTATTTACATTTCGCCTTTACTTTACAGTTCATTGCCAGAAATATTTACAGAAAATACAATAAGAAAAAGATCATGTCTTGGCAACATACCGAAATTCATACAAATTGTATATGTGATCTCAAGCAAATAATGATACTGCTTAGTTTTTAGCCACAACTGCCAAGCCCTTCAGAGGAGAAAGATGTTCTTGGTCACTGCAAGAGACAAGGACTTGGGAAACTTGGTTTGCTTCAACAAATATTTATTGGGCGCCTACTAGATGCAAGGCACTGTGGAATCCCAAATTTTTCCTTTTCCCTCACCGTTAAAAAAAGAGAAAAGCATCTGGAGAACATGAGTTGATACTCCAAGAAAAACACTGTACAGTACATGGCTTCTTTAGCTACCGAGAACCCCGTCTGATTCCACGCCGAGCGGGCGGGCTACCCCCAATCTCTCTGTCTCAGGGAAGAGGCTGTCGTGGAAATCCGAGAACAGACCATCTAATGCAACTGCTCATTTCATGTAAACATAGAAACCAACTCTTTTTAGGAAGCTGTAGCCTGAATGGGTTTTCAGATGCCGAACAGAGTACTTCCGCCAGCAAGAGTGTCAAATGACCTCTATGACATCTTTCACCCACTGCCACACAGGGTGCCTGGGCGCAAGCAAGGCTGACTCCCACTCTGGGTAAAGTCCCACCTACCCGTAGAGACAAACACCCTTGAAGACTCTGCCTCCCTAAATATCGGTCTGCAGAACCTGACAGATACTCCCTCAGTGGATGCAGAAGCAGCCATTCATGCAGACCTCACGACGTTGCTGCCACAGATAGAGGTTTCGGTATTCGAGTCCAGAGGAGAACGGCCTGCCCTGAAGTAGAGGACCTGGGAATGGAGGACCGCGTGGATGTGATGTGTTGTGTGTGTGTTATCAACCCTCCATGTAGCTGTTTCCGTCAAAGGGCCAATGGGCAGGAGGTGGGGAGGGAGTTAGGAGGAAGCACTGGACAAAAGGGAGAGTTGGCTGAATGAGGAAAGGGTTAAAAAGGCAAAAGCCCTGTCCCTGACCTCAGTGCTTCCAGGGAGAGAGGGGGAGGGAAGCCCCCACCCACCAAACGTGAGCTAGAAGCATGAGGGCCTCCCTGCCGCTGTCCCTCGGGTCTGCCTTCCTTGTCACCGAATGCCATGCTCATCCACCTCCCAGTGCACTTGTCACATGCAGCAACTAAACTGTTTAAGCCGCAGATCCAAGCAGTCCCAGCTTCCCCGAAAAGGTTATGAACACATGCTAGCGAACTTATCAAGTGGACTTCTAAAAAGTATTACTAGAAACTAAATATGCTCTTCTGCATTTTTTCTATGCAAAGCGATTTTTAACAAAGGCAGCTGGGTGAACTTAGTGACTGTGAACTCAAACCCATAATACTAGTGAAAGGTGCAAGGGTTCTCACCACACTTCTTTTTTAGGTAGCTGTTACACTGAGCAGAAGGAACCGGCACCTGATGAGGTCTGTGTGCCCCGTACTGTCCGCGCCTTACATACTGGGGCTTCGTGCCTTTGGGGACTGCACAGTCCTGCATCCATCCCTCCTTCCCTGGGAGACCACCAAGTCTTTCGGATCACAAATTCCATCCGACATGGTTGCCCACTTACCAAAGCCATTCAAATTACAAAGACTTGTCAGAAATTAGAGCAAACTGAAGGATCAGGAAGCCTAGCCCCCAACATGCACACCACAGGACATTTTGCTGACAGTAAAGCTACAAAGGTAAAAGTTTTATCTGAAAGATCACACGGAGGAAGGACACCTACATCAGCTATTTTCGACCTCCGCAATGCTGTAAGCTGCACACCAGTGTATAGCCATCTTTGCTCACAACCACTAGAACAAGGGCCCAGTTTGCCCTTGAACCGTCAACCTGGAACTTCCATGAAAGTTGCTAAACCTCACCTTATACCTGCTGAGCTACTACAATATTTTTAGAGTAGATCTTTCTAAACTTTATCATATGTACCCCTCCCCCACGCTACCACCTGGAAACATCAAATTTATTGCCCATTTTACAGAGAAAATCAACTACTGAATAAGACTATATCCTGAATGGAAACTGGAGTCACGGAAGGTGGAGGTTATATTTACCTGAGCTTAAAACAAACATGAAGAAAAAATTATAGCAAACTTAAAACCAAGAGCCACTACGCCCACGTTTCTTGTTCAAAGATGAAAAAATACATACTTCTGGAACAAAAGTATCTGCACAGGGAATTAGGCCCTACGCACTATCCTCTGCCCTCTAATTAAACTAACATCAAACCAAACAGACTGTTATGTAGCTCTGATCTACAGAATCTACTGACGTCAGAGTTCAAGTGTGAAATCACCCCGTACGTAACTGTGATCATTTCTCTTTGGACTTTAAATGTCACTTATTTTCTTAACATAAAATGATCTTAATAATGAAGAAAGCACACAAGAATAGGAGAAATGAGTGTTGTCTACTCTAGTACTGTGACAGTCATCCTTGTAAGGATGTTCTGGGTCTAGCCAAGATGTTCTGGGTCTAGCCACCTCAAAACATGTAATCCTGGCAGAAAAGTAGCGGTGAGGTAACAGAAGCATTTCCAAAATCCAGGCTGGAATCTGTTGTGTCTTCAGCTGGCAAAGTCCAGAAAAGAAGACAACAGCCATTTCTAACAGCAGCCACTCAAGGAGGTGGTCACTAATGTTTGTCAATCGTGAGGGAGTCCAGTAGCTCTCTGGGAGAGATCTGAATTAGTAGAGATGACAGGCTATTTCCTGAACCCCAAATCAGAATCCTTCATAAACTACTGCAGTGTCCTGCTTGGTCCTGAAATAAGAGACAACGGATAAAACCAAATAATTTTCAACCCTTGTTGTGAATTTACATTTCTAACTATTTACCAAGAAATTATCAAACATGTTTATCAAAATCTCTGATGTTTAACCTGTCATTACATCACCAAGCTAGACAACACTGGGGAGAGTGGGTGCATCACCGCTGCCTGACAGCTTGTAACGCCACAAACTCCAGCAGCACCTCATTCGGGGCAGGGCCATGCCGCCACGTCAGGTCCGCCCCTGGGCTGCCCGGAAGCGGAAGCCTTCAGACAGGTCTGTGCAGTGACGAGAGCAACTTTTTGAAATGTGGAGAAAATATGAAAGATTTTAATGTCACACTTCATAGTGAGCAAAAAAACATGTCCTTTTCTGTCAGCTGGACACTGGATGACAAATGGACCTACGAGTGAACAGAAAGTTGAGATTTCTTCCCTCCTCCTCCATGCTGTCACTGCGAGTCTTTAAAGGTCCTGAAGATTCTGAGACAGATTTTAACTTTGAACATAACCTCCTAAAAAGTGAGGTATAAAACTATCTTCAACTTCTAATTTGCAGATTTGATACTACCAACACACGTGTTTAACTGAGATGCATAAAAGCCTTTCTCCTCAAAAGGCTCAGCTTTAACTAAAATTGTCACTTTAAAAAGAAAGTTTATGGCTAAAATGTGCATCATCATTACCAGCAGGAATATGATTGTGTCTGGGAGCCCATTTCTCTAGGAAGCCAGAGGTCTTCTATCAAATGGGTTTAAATGTGTTTCTTCTACTCTGGTGA